CCCCCCCCCCCGGCACAGACAGGGATTTAAAGCTAAAAACCATTCTTAGCTCACAGGCCATACAAAAATAGGTAACTGGCTGTTGTTTGCTGACCCCTAAATCTCAGTTAGTGATACTGTTAGCCAATAAAGAATATAACACGATGGGGGAGCAGAATATCTATCCCATGGCCCACCCTCCTTCATATCAAGAGGAGTTAAAAATATAAAATTTGCTTTATTTTGGAGGTTAAGATGAGAATAATAAAGTAGTAATATGAAAGGATGTGTAGTTAATACTCAATGGAGTTAGACCAGTAATATTCTTAAGAATTTGCTAAAAATATAAAAACAAAACCATTCAGCAGGCAGTCAGAAGTAGGAAGAATGCAGTAGTTTGTGAGGATGTCTTCTGGATTTAACTGCGGAGCTCTTTGAAGATTCTAAATCCATCAGAATTCATTGGTATAGTTTTGTAAGACCTTTCTTACAATGACACCTGAGAATGTTCCCACTTGTAAGCACAGAAGAAAAATAAAATGAAAGGACCTTTAAAGAAAGTGGATATGTTTTATTGACTCTTGTTGCAACAAATCTCTTAGGTCTGTTATTCAGAGACAAGCTTAAGTGAGGAGAGCATTGCTACTTAATTTAACCAACTTTTTTTCTTTTTAATATATCTTTTTATTGATTTTAGAGAGAGGAAAGGAGAGGGAGAGAGTGAGAGAGGGAGACTGAAACATCAATGATGAGAGTGTCATTGATCGGCTGCCTCCTGCACGCCCCGACTGGGGATGGAGCCCTCAACCCGGGCATGTGCCCTGTCCGGGAATCAAACGCTGATCGCCTGGATCCTAGGTCGACGCTCAGCCGCTGAGCCACGTCCGGCCAGGCTAACCTACCTTTTTAGGGCTTAGTGTTGGCAAGATATTTGGAAATATTGCTAAATACAAAATATTTTCAGATTTTTGATCCAGAAATGTAAGGTGGGATTTTGCCATGCCTTATGCAGCATGGTGAGAATGTTTCTTCCTTGCTTTGGTTTCTTCCATCTTCTAGAGCAGGTGAAAAAAATGAATTCCCTCGGAAGGAAATATTTCCAGTTAAGGAAACAGCTAATAGAAAGAATAGAGAAATTTTTCTTGAACCACATATATCAAATTTGATGATTACATGAAAGAAATACAGCCTCTCAAAAGAAGCAGAATCAACTGTTAGCAATAACTCAGAAAATGAAACTTATTGGATGGAATTCTATGGGGCAAAAGTTTTATTTCAATGAGTTCAAATGAAGTTTGTTTTTACATTTTTATATCTTTTTGAAAATGAGTTTTTTTGTATATGCTTGATACGAAGGAAGACATTAAATTTAGAAAATACAACTTTTGCCATACTGATTTCCCCTCCCCGTTTATGGAGCTTTGTTTGCTGCTTTGTAAATGGGAGAAGAAACTTGAGAGATGCTGGATATCTTAAATTTGGACAACTTCATTTGAAACTGATAGTTGGTAATACTGAAAAATAAAATTAGTTGGTAAATTTGTAAATTTATGTTGTTTAATATACCAAAACAGGTTGAGGTAATTTCTATGAGCCTTAATAAATAACTTTCTAATGATAAGTTAACAAAGTGATTTTAGATATTTTTAAAGTACTTTGAAATGTAAATAAAAGTTACAGAATTCTTCTTAGTAAACTTTCCCCTATGACTTAACCATGAAATTTACATTTCTGATTGACTAATGAGATTAGGGAAACTTTTGATTTGTAAACCAGGATATTGGACAGTGCTTTGTATTTAACTGGAGCTGATGTGTTCTCTTGTGTTTTACTCTTTTTTCAGTGAAACCAGCAGTGTGTGTAGCAGCAGTGACACAGGGCTCTTTACCAACGATGAAGGACGGCAAGGTAATCTTGATCCCAGCTTTAGGAAGATTTTAATGATTATAGGAGTGAGTCACTGAGAATATGATAGTTGTCTATAGCAGTGGTTCTCAGACTTTAGGGCATATAAGAATTCTTAAGACTGGGGAATTGTTAAGACTCCAAATTCTTGAACTCCTAGAAATCAAATAGGTCTAGAATTGGCCCTTAGAATCTGCATTTTTCATAAGCACCTGCGGTGATTTTTATGCAGAAAGTTCAGTCTTTGAGAATCATTGATCCAGGGGGATTATGGTGTCAAGGATGGCACTCTGGGAAGTTGCTTTTTATTAAAACCAAAAAATAGCCTCATGTATTACTTTCTTTTTTTGGATGTTAAAGCATTCTTGTTTTCACATAGAGAGAATTTATTTTTATAACCTTATTTATAAATGAGCACAGTGTTCTGGGTGAATATATTATAGAAAACATCTTTCTAATGTTAAAACTCCTAAAGTTTAGCATAGAACACTGAATAAGGCTGATGTATGTTAATTATCAGTTCTTTATTTTTACTACCTAAACAGTAACCTGAAACTGTTCTTTTTAAAAAAGACTTTGTTCTTGTCCTGAACACTTGCTTAGGACCACAATAATTGGGTACCAATAAGAATTTCATATTGAAATTCCTTTGGACTAGTTTTCTTACTCTAAATAATGGATTTGTAGATCTCTAATGTCCCTTCTAGCTCTGAAATCCAGAGATTTTTCTACAAGGGCTAAGTGATTGAAGGACAGAGAGGCACGGTGGCTACATGTCTTGGTTGATACAAATAGGTTGCCTAGTAACTGAAGGGATCCGGGAGCTGTGAGACTGGAGACCCAAGTCCTGATTTTGGAAAGAGAGACCATGGAGGGGGTGGTGTCTCACCCATGCCTCAGAGTTAATAAGCATGGATGGAGTTGTTAAGCTTCCTGCTATATGGGAGTTGTGAGTACATTTCCGTGTCTTTCTGATTCTGAGGGAGCTAGGGGTTGTTTGAGGTTGTGTGTGTGTATATTCCCTGGTAGGTTCTAGTCAGGGTTTTGATTCTTCTATCTTCTACCAGGAAGGTGTGGTTGTCTTTCCATGAATGAGCTGGTGCATACTGTTCAGAATTACTAATATTTACTCTTTTTCTTTGCTTTTACTGCAATGCTATGAATTGTCATAATGCATCTCTTAAAGATTATGCTGTGAAATTATAAAGAGGAGGAAGAAAGTGAGGACCTATTACAACAGCTTAGGTTTTGGGCATTTGAAAAACCTTTCCACTGATAAAAAATCCTTTATCACAGAAGATTGTGGAATATTCTACAGCCCCACCTTTCTTCTTTGCCTCTCTCTCAACTTTACATATTCTGGTGATAATTTAGATGCCTAGAGTTCTCAGAACAAAGCTATGTTATTTCCTGCTTCCATGTCTTTGTTTATGCTGGTCTCCGCCTGAAATCTCATCCTCACTTTTCCTTGAATGGCTGCTTATCCACTAAGACACAGTCCTTTTGCTTCTCTGGGGCATATTTATGGACTACATCTGTGGGTTTTCTTACCTTCATAGGTTGGGCCAGTAAGAGGCATCAGCAGAAGAGTGGAGGGAGAAAGGGAGATGGATGAGATTGGGTGTAATAGTCAAGTTTTTATTAAGATAATACTGTTTAACAATTCCAAAATTTCAGTGGTTTTTCACATTTATTTCTTACTATGGGACTGGAGGTTATCTGAGGTTCAGTTTATCTGGCTCAGCTGGTCTCCAGGCTTCAAGTTAGGTTTGTATCTACTCAGTGTGTCTTATTCTGGGTACTAGGCTAAAGAAGCAATGGCTATATGACTCACGGGCTTCTCATGGTAGAGGACATGAATGCCAAGTGACCAGGTCAGACCATGCACGAATATTTAAAACTTTTGCTTAAATCACATTTGTTAATGTTCTACCACCTAAAGCAAGTCATATGACCAAACCCGCTGCCTCTGGGATGGGGAAGTGTGCTCTGCCTCAAGGGGAAGGCTCTGTGGAATCCCATGGCAAAAGTCACGGGCACATCATTCTATCATGGGGAGGCAGTGATGAGGTGGCAACAATAATGCACTCTACTGCTTGGAGTATGGCTTCCCCGAGTCCCTTTCTGTTGCACTGCTGGTTGACTGGTGCATTCGGTGCAGAAGGCCACCACTCCTGTTGGGCAGCCTTCTCCGATAACCACAGTTATCTCTCTGGGCTCTGGTAACCCTTCTTTCCCCTTGCTACTTCAGGTCTAGTAATGGTAAAGATCCTCACTGTGCTGGCTCCAGGGTGCTTCACCGTCCCTTGTTGGTTTCTTTCTCTTAATACTGTCTTACACCTTTGTAGGTAGTCACTTTATTAAAGTCTCAGTTACTCCATTTAAATGTGCATGTTTCCTAAAGGAATTCTGGCTGATACTCTCAGTGTAGGCACCATCTTCTAGAACCTGTACTCTTTTCTTTCCCTGTACTTGTTGCTTTCTTACATCTTACCATATTACATTATTGTTTATAGATGTGTGTTTTCTCCATTGAGGTTTTTCAAAGACAGAAACTTTTTTAAAATTATTTGCAACCACAATAGGTGACACATTGCCTGACATATATTGAGCGCTTAATAAATAATTGGAAGCCCAGTTGAGGGGGAAAATTCTCCTTTTTCCCCTCAAACAGAATTGTACATAGAACCTCAAATTGTAAAACAGCTAAACCTATTTTGGTTAAAGCAAGATCCTAAAGGAGCAGGGTTTCAGGAGCCTGATCCACTCAGACTCTTCCTTATCTCTGGCAGCACTCTCTTGAGGAGCTCCTGCATCAGGCATCCTAGTAAACCCAGGGTGAAGACTACGAGTCTAGATGATCTCACAGGTTGCTTCCAGTTCAGTGAGTCTCTTTTCATATTATTAAAAATCATGAGTGAATGCTTGAGAACCAAAAAAGTTCATGATAGTTTGCCATTTGTTATCAGAAAACCGACCTAGCTAAGTACACTGTTTTACTAAATGGTCTAAGGAATGCTTATGAATAAGAAAAGAATTACTATATTGAAGTACAGATAACCAAATTATCATTCATTCTAATGCCTGTCTTTAATTTATCTATGTACATGGTTTGATGAGATACTTTTAGAGTAGTGAGTCGCAAATTGTGGTCCCCAGACCAGCTTAGCATCACTAGGGAACTTGTTAGAAATGCAGATTTTTGGTCCTTCCCAGACCTGAATCAGAAACTTTGGGAATAGGGCCCAGTAGTCGGTGTTTTAACACCCCCTGCCCCCACCGTGTTCTCTGATGCACACTAAAGGTTGAGAACTATTGATTAAGAGAAACAGCTGTTGGTGGTATGTTTTTTTAAGAGAACACTTCAAGTAACTTCTTTAGTGGCAATATCTGCTGCTGTTCACCAGTATGCAGCTTTCATTTCCCCTTTTAGTGATCTCCACAGTGATTTAAGAGTTATCATCATCTTGAGTGTTAGTAGCCCATGAATCTGCTATTTCATGTGATTGACATGCCTCGAGCAGCTTCCTTGGGATCCCCAGTATACATTAGAGAATGAATGCATGAATGCATTATGAACTCTTTAGATGTTCTTGTAATAATTTACTTCATCCTTGCTATTTTGAAAGGGGGGGAAGGTTGGCAGGAATAAACTATTGGAAACTGAGATGCTATCATTGTAGACAATAGAAAGAAGTTTGAATCAAGAGCCTGGATATATGGGTCTAGTCTTGACTTTGTCATTATTGAAGAGTATGTAGCCTTGGGCAAATGATATAACTTCTTGACACAAACCTTGGGGGATTATGTTATTTGTCTCTGGTTAGTTTTTTCCTGGTAGCTTGGATTGCTAGTGTCAAGATGATTTTCTGTCCCATTAATGAGGTACCAAGGAAAAGACAAGGTATGGATATACATTCTTTATTCACCTATTATGAGAAATGCAACTATAGCAAGAAATCCCTCAGGAACAGCTAGTTTTGAATTGAGAAACGTTTGTGGGCTTTGAATCCCCAAGTTCATTTATACTGCTGAGAATGGTACACAGGAGGCAGTTTATTTTTGTGGTAAAGGCTTTGGAGTTGGTCAGGCTTTGAGTTCAAATCCTGTCTTCATCATATACTACCTTGATCGTGGACCTCTTTGGGCTTTAGTTGCCTCATTTGTAAGTTGGAGTTAGTGTAAGGTTTGGAAGAGAACATATTTATAGATTTTTTAGCATGGGCGCTGGTAGGTGGTAAAGGCTTAGTAAATGGTAGCTTTATTTTTTTACTATGAAAAGCAATCCAGCATAACACAGTGTGACATTTAAATGAAGCAGGTGTGGTGTTCCAGTTGTCATAATATGGATCAAGAAGAAGAATCAAAACGATTTTTTGGACTTGGACTTCATTTTAAAGCATACTCAGACCTATAGAGCTGAGAAGTCCTCCTCCCATGTGGTTTTTGACAGAGATGTTAAAATCCCAGCTTATGAAAATGATCTCTCTACTTCAGGGGATGACGAGCAGAGTGATTGGTTCTATGAAGGAGAATGTGTCCCCGGATTCACTGTCCCTAATCTTCTGCCCAAATGGGCTCCTGACCATTGCTCTGAAGTAGAAAGAATGGATTCTGGACTGGATAAGCTTTCAGATTCCACGTTCCTTTTACCTTCTCGGCCAGCTCAAAGAGGTGAGTTCTGAGGAGACCAAACTATACTTCACGTTTTCATGGTTCTTCTGGGGGAGAATCGTCCCATGGTATGCATACTCCTTTCTTTAAGCACGCATTAACTATCTGATTTTTGGAGCTATTCCAGGGATTTTTCTAGACGATTCAAGGGTGAGTCTCAAAGTTTGAGGTTCTCTTTACCTAAATCAATACTTAGAGACTCTTGGGAGATATATTAGCAGGGCATTCTTTCAGCTTGCCATTGCCATTTGTGCCAGATTTAGGAAGCGTCTCACGGCTGTTTATCCTGCTGTGACTGATGGGCTATTGAGTACTCACTGAAGAATTGGATCTTGGAAGAGAACAGATTTCAGTAAGAACATTCACATACAAGTTACAATGGCATTTTTTGAATGGATGATTTAAAAATAGTCTTTAAATTTTAATAATTCTGTTGTGGACTTGAGCACAAATATACATCCCTTCCCTTCAGTGATGATATAGCAAGGTGGGGTGGAAAGACCTAGGACAGGGAGAAGGAAATGTGATAATACTGTCTGGGAGTGTCTGTGTAGCTCTGTGACTGTGACAGTCACTTCATTTTCTTGGGACGTCAGGGTCATTTAAGATATTGTGACATTGAACAAAAGTGTTTCAGAGGTTTCTTTTAGCTCTGTAAATGTATGATTCTAGGATTCCCAGTAATTAATAATCAACTAGTTAGTTATCAAGTATTTGTTGAGCATCTGTGTATGATCAGAATTTCAGTAAGAGCTGTAAACTGTAACATTTCATTATGATGAATTTGGGTTATTGAGGACTTCTCAAATAAGTTGGTTCTTGGTAAAGACTGTTCTCTGGCTGAGGGACATTGTTTGCTACCTTAATAATGTTTATCGAACATTTTAATGACCCTGTGTATAAGTTCTTCATGGACTAGTTAAAATACACACAAATAAGTAAGAACAGGAAGAAGAAACTTAAAGTGGCCTGTAACCCGTACTCTAAGACAATGTCATTGACAACATTTTGGTGTGGTTCTTCCAGTTGTCTCTTCTGTGTGTAGAACACATACAACAGTTAGGAAAATGGGATTATATTACACATGCTATTTTTACCATTATTTCATGAATTAGAATGGCTCTGAGTAATAACTAGCATTTAACTTATAATTAGAAATTGCTGATAATATCTTATATTTGTCTAGTTTTTTCAGTTTATTAGTACCTTCCATGTGCTATTTCATTTGGTTTCAAAACACCTGTATAAGATAGGACTAAGCAAGTGGTTATCCCTTTTTTATAGAGGAGGATGCCTAGGTGAGAGGTAAATGAGATGCCTGAGATCATAGTGCTGGTGTCAAAGACATGGGAATAGTAAGTCCTTGACAAATATCCTACTGATACTAGTTTAAGGATCAGTTTAGTAGATCCTGGGCTGGAAGACCTCTGGTGTACTAGAAGCATGCCATTGCTAATGAATCTTTTGCATCTCAGTAGAGAACTGCCTTTTTGTTTTGTTTTAGGGTACCATGCTCGCTTGAATCGTCTGCCTGGAGCTGCAGCTCGATGCCTCAGAAAGGGGAGAAGGAGGCTTGTTGGGAAGGTGATAGCTCTTATTGTTTACCAGGCTCAGTGGGAGGATAATATTCTCTATGGGATTTGTGTACCCTCTTGATAATCAGAGGTGCTGCAGAACACCCTGGAGTGAATTAAGCCAACTGGAATAGTTTGCAAGTTCATAAGAATGAACATTATATGGGATATGAATGGATACACACATAAAGGATGAAGTTTAATTCATACGGAAGTTCTTACAAAGTGTACACTGTCATGACAGTATCTGTTGTCTAAATCTACAGGCCTGATTGCTGTCTCTTCTATTCTTTTGATTAATATTATGTTATTATTATATAAGTTAAAATACTCTTGGCTTCTTTATGATTCCTCATGAATTCATGGATGCTTCTTTTGTCCTATATTTGGTCTTTTATTTTAGAATTCATTAAAAAGAAAAAACTGGTACCTGGCTGGTGTTGCGCAGTGGTTGAGCATCGACCCATGAACCAAGAGATCACCAGTTCAATTTCCGGCCAGGGCACATGCCCAGGTTGCAGGCTTGATCTCTGGTAGGGGGTGTGCAGGAGGCAACTGATGGATGTTTCTCTCTTATTGATGTTTCTATCTCTCTCTCCCTTTCCCTTCCTCTCTCTAAAAATCAATAAAAATATATTTTAGAAAAGAAAAAACTGAAGAAAAACTTGTTACCAAATTTCAAAACCCCTCACTAGCCGTGAGGGAGGAATATCTACCACTTACTCAGTTCTGCCTTTTCCAGGGACTGTGCTGGGCACTCAGTTCATTTAATTCTCCTACAATCTTGAAAAAAGGTGATACTCCTCTTTAGCAGGTGGGAAAAACTTGGGTTTAAAAAAGTTCAGTAATGTTTGATGTTATCCAGATACAAGTGGCAGAGTAGAGAATTGAACCCAGGTCTACTTCTTCTTTCTTTCAAATTTAAAAAAATACTTATTTTTCACTTTACCTTTGAGATTGAATATAGGTTAAGATTGGGGCTCATACCCAGTCAGAGAAGGTGGTGGTCAGCAAAGAGTGAAGAAAGGAGAGGCATTTTAGAGCATCGATTAATTGGTTTACTCAATAAGCATTTATAATGCCTACTGTGTGGCAGGCTCTGTGCCAAGCCAGATGTGTAATAGTCAGAACCAAAGTATGGATGCCCTCAGAGAGCTACTGCTTTATAATTAGGGAACTGGTTTTTGAAGTTTTAACCATACAGAAAGAAATGAGGCTGTTTATTTCCAGATGAACTTAGATTCTTTTTATCTTTAAATTCAACTTCAAATGTTTAATTAGAAAGACAGTTGATTATTGGAAGAATGATACCTTATTCTTATTGTCACTCATTTTCCTGACAATAAAAGGCTGCTTTTGCTATTCTGGGTGCTTATTTTTGACAGCTAGCAGGTTAGGACTGAGTGCATGGGGTGGAGGGCAGCAGGAGGCTGGGAGTGGGAAACAGAGATGGTTTGATTTTTTTCTCTTTATTAGTTAAGCTTGACAGACAGTGTTCTCCCTATTATCTACCTTACTTTGTTTCAGCTCCTATAAAATAAGAGCCTTTCACTTCCATGGAAGTAAATCAGTTCATCTTGAAGGCTCCCTTTAGCTTGCCTGGAAGAAAACTGGGGCCTATTGGACATCTCTAAGGATTGCAAATGAATAGAATAATATTTACTTGTTTAATTCATCTTCATCACCTTAAAGGGATATTTGTCATTTCTAGCAGAGGTCACTGTTCTGCCCCCTTTTCCCCCCTCCCCCATCCCTCTTCTTTTTTTCTAAATTGTAATCATAAATAATGAGTTTCATTCACAGCTCCCTGCCAGCGAGCTGCTAATTACGCAAAGTACTGCTTGTAATTTACACAGTAATAAACTGTAAATTCAAACATTACGGCACTTTAAGTTAATAATTTTTTTGCTGTAACAAATAGCTCATTTTTCATCCATCTTTTCCCTTGGCACTGCTACCACGGCTGTGTCTGTGACCAGAAGGCATAGGTGTAGGTATGACGAATATGAACAATACAGTATGTGAAACCTTTCCATCTAGCTCCACTCCTGCCCAGAATCTGACCTCAAATTAATTTTTCTCTAGCCAGTTCTGCTAAAATGTGTATCCTAATATTTAAGCTAATTATACACATAGATGAATACAGATAATAATATTTGCCCAGAAACAAATGTGTTTTAGTAACAAGCTTGACATTCTTGACATTCATGCCCTGTGACTTATGCTCTCTCATCTTAGCACTTGCTCGTATGTGCATAACTCTTATTCATATATTGTTGGTATGCTTCCCTGGGCACTGTGATAGATATTCATTGTAAATATGCTCATGTTAAATGAAGGGTGAGTGCCTTCTGCCATTTTCCAATTTTTTGGAGATGATTAGTTTCTGAATTACTTGTGGTGTTATGGTAAGATTTCATATTGCAATCTTGAGAACCCCAAATTTAAGAACCAATTTATACAAACTTCTATTATTACTTTAAGAGATGACATTTGACAGACAAAATACAGGTGACAGTTTTTGTAAGTTGCAAAATTCCTTTGCGGTGTATACATCTACTCAGTAGGTATTTAGGTGTTACCAGTGAGGACTCTGTAAATGCCCCATTATGAAGGCTGTTGGACTATAATTGTATGACTCTAGGGAGCTTGATGTGCTGCTGGCCTGTTAAAAATTAGCTGCTGTTGGATTTTTTAAAAAAGTGTTTTTATTTCTATATACTTTAATAATTTCAGGAGGTATTACTTTAATAAGATTATATATATAGTAAACAATGTTTATAATGACTTTTTTTGAAACACTAGAGAAAAGTAAGTCTAGGGTAACATGAGATACTTAAAAATTTTTTTAAATTGATTTTAGAGAGAGGGGAAGGGAGAGACACATCAATGGGAGAGAGAAACATGCCTCCTACATGTGCCCTGACTGGGGGGTCAAACCCACAACCTAGGTATGTGCCCTGACCGGGAATCGAACCACAACCCTTTGGTGCCTGGGATGATGTTCCAACCAACTGAACCATACCAGCCAGGGCAACATGAAATACTTCTAAGTTAGATTCCCATAAAAAGAAATATAGTTGCTGTTAGATATTAAGATTGACATTTGACATGTGCCTTTGAAGTCGCAGGCGTAGTTATGGGAAAGTGTGAACTTGATGACAGGTTGTGCTTTATATATTTGTTTCTGTGGTTAGGTGACACTCTTGTCTTTATTGTCTTTTCAGGAGACCAGCATAAGCACTTTGGGTACTGAGAGGATAGGCCACATCATTAGTGACTCTCGGCAGAAAGAGTAAGTGCTTTATATTTGCTGTCTAATCTAGTCTGTTCCTTGGAGAAGAAGGCAGAGGAAAGTTTTATACAGGAATCTAGAAATCCAACTTTCGAGCTGAAAGAGGCGATCGTAAAGATTTGTACTTTATAGCAGTCAACATTGCTAATACTCTAAATCTATGGGTGACTATTTTTTCCTTTCTAGACTAGTTCTTATTTCTTTGCTTTTTATATCTATAGGTGCTGCATTTTGAAAGTAGCCTCCAGTAAAGATGTTACATTTTAAACTCATTTTTCTGTCTCTCAAAATTTTTTTTGTTCAAAATGGGTGATTGCCTCTACATTCGCTTAGATTCCCTTCCTTTTTTTTAGAGCTCTATATAGAGAAATATCTTTTTGTCCTAACTCCTGTGATGAGTACAGCTAAAAAGCCCATGTGTAGCTCTGGGAAACATTCCTCCCCTTCTTGTACAGCCTGGTCCCCTAACATGATTGGTTCTTTGATGTCTCCTGAACACGTCGTGGTCAGTACCCAGTTATGCTCCTATACCTATCCAAGCTGGGTGAATTTTTAATTTACAACATAGGCAAGATTGAGTGTAGTTTATGCCTTTGTTGAATTGGGGATCCTGTTGTCACTGCACAGCAGAGAGAGCACTGATGTCACAGCATAATCTGGGGCTTATTTGTAGAGTGTCTAGTCTTTTACATTCCATTACAAGGCTTTTTCCTTCGAAGAGTTATTTTCTGCAAGAAAGTTCAGCCACATTAGCATCTCTTTTCTTCTCCAAGTCCATCTTTTCCCATTTCTTTCTTTGTCTTCACTTCATTATGCCAACATCCTTCTGTCTTCTCCTCCTCTCTATAATTTTCTTATCAATTCTTTTATTGTTTCCTTTACTGTTATTCTCTCTTTCTCTTTAGTGTCTGGTTACCATCAGCTGGGAAAAGGGAACGAAATCAGGTAAGGTCTTTCCTTCATCATCTTTATTTTATCACTTGATTTCCTTTTCTTTAGAAAGAATAAAGTGTTGGCTTCTGATTTTCCTCACATTTCTGCTTGTGCACATGAGGTAAGGTTCCTGTTCCCTATGCTGTTCTCATTTTCCTGGAGGACTCTTCCCCAAAATAGATATTCACTGATAAGAACTGTAGCTAATTCCCCTTGTTGGGTTCAGTGATCTTTAGTTTATTACCTGTAACACATATTCATTAGGAACCCTGTTCTTATATTAGTTTTGAACTTGGCAGTAAGAAATCATAATGAACCTCATCTGCTTATGGTTTAGTTCAGCAGCAGAATCTTGTGCTGAGAAGTATACCATTGAAGCCTACGTGTATGAGACAGAAGGAGGTAGAGCTGCTTTGGGTGAAGTGGGGTCAAGGGCTTAGAGCCTTGCCCTCTTAGTCTTGTCCCTAGCTACCCCATGAGGGAGCCCTTGGCACACCTAGTCCTTTGTAGGGGTCATCATTTAAAAATTACTGACAGTGGCTATTGTTCCTTTATATTGGAAGCTTTTGATTTTGGAGGGGAGAGAGGTTGCTTTATCTTGGTGATTAGTTATAAAATAGATGTAATCATTATATCAAACTCATTTCATAGAAATAGAGTAAGGACAAGGCTGAGTAATAATTTGATATAAAAATATTAAGTAACTAGTGCAGGTGGTGAGCAGATAAGGGGAAAGTCATTAAGGTAGCATATGAGAAACTGCCGCTTGGGGAACTCCAAGCTAGAGTACTCGTCGGGTTTGCATCAGAGGACCTAAAGGTAGAGGGACCTTTGGGGATCACCTTGTCCAGATGTGTTATTTACAGATGAGGTTTAAGCTATTTGTCCAAAGTCATAGAGCTCATGGAACTGCGACTGGAACCTCTGACACAGACAACAATTCCGTAGTTTGTATTCTTCTAAGTTCTTTTGAAATGACCATTTGGAGTTCTTTTAGTCTTAAAATATATTTAGTTCTGAAATTTTAGGGGAGGTTTATTTATTGTTGAAAAAGTCTAAAGAAAGTTAGCAAACATAAAATGAGGTACTTTTATGTATACTATCCCATTTGATCCTCGCAACCACTTTTTGAGGTCCGTGTAATTACTTTATATATTACTGAGATGTTTTATAGATGAGAAACTGAAATTATTTTATAAACTGAAAGCAATGTTTCATTCAGTTCTCATAATCTGTAAAATAGGTAAGACAGAGATACATCCATTTCACAGGTGAGGATAGTAAAGCTCAAAGAGATTATGTGGTTTGTAATATATGGCAACTCAGTGGTATACTGGAACTAAACATAGTTATTCTACTTCTTAATGTAGTTCTGTTTTCACTGTTCTATGCTGCTGGTATGTGCTAACCAGTTATTCCCTGGAAACATTTCCAGGATAAGGAAGTGAAAAGGTAATTTCATGCTAGTCTTCTTAGGTCCAAGGGGCGATAATCAGTAGGCATAAGTTCTGGTTATGTCAGTTGCAAAGTACAGTTGACCCTTGAACAACATGGGTTTCAGCTGTGCAGGTCCACTTACACACAGATTTTTAAAAAAATAAATACTGAAATGTATTTTCTCTCATTTATGATTTTCTTAGTAACATTTCCTTTTTCCTAGCTTTCTTGTAGGAATACAGTATATAATACATGTAACATACACAATATGTGTCAATTGACTGTTTATATTATCAGCAAGGCTTCCGGTCAACAGTAGGCTATTAGTAGTTAAGTTTTTGGGAAGTCAAAAGTTGTACATGGATATGCGATTGTGTTGCGGGTTGGTGCCCCTAAACCCCGTGTTTATTTAAGGGTCCACAGTACTGTCATCTGCCATTTAAGTAATTACTGTTTATCAGAAGTTTTTGAAAAAGAATAGTCTTCTTGCTGAGGTGTGGTAAATGAGGTATGTTAGGGTACAGTACTGGATGTGTGCAACCTTCCTGAGTGGTGTCTGCGGGACAGCAAAGGAGTTGAACGGTCAAAGGGAAAAAGTAATCAAATAGCAGGTTACCCATTATGATCAGGTCTGTTTCACATAAGCCTTACTAAAATATTCTTATTTATTTTTGCAGTTTAATCCCCTTTCTCCCCTTTACTCTCTGGATGTTCTTGCTGATGCTTCTCACCGAAGGTGTTCGCCAGCACACTGCTCTGCCAGGTAATTGTCTTCTAGTGGCTTTTTCTCCCATATGGTATCATTTTCCTTTTTATAACACTTTTTAAATTATAAAGTATGTTTGTGTGTAGTATCCAATTTGATCTTTCCAACAACCTTTTGAGGTCAATGGATGTTTTACAGATGTAGAAACTGAGGCAGAGTAGTGCTGTATCTTTCATGTGGTCATGTGACTAGTATGTGATTTAAGTTTCAACTTTGACCTAAGTCTTCTAGCTCATATTTCATATTTCTTCTGCCACAAGCCCTGTCTTCCGAGAACATTATTAATGGTCCTTGCCATGGCCTGCAAAATACTGCGTAATCTGATTTCTGCCTGTATGTCCAAATCCCTTTCATAAACTTCTTTCTCCTCACTGGGGGAGGGATCCAGCTGCACCAGGGAGCTCCATTTTTGTTCTTCAAAAATAGCAGCCCTTTCCTGCCTCTGAAGCTTCACACGTGCTCTCTGTGCCTGGACTACCGTCTTAGAGTATTCCCAGGATTGGCTCCTTCTCTTTTCAACTTGGGCTTTCTCCTCAGGGAGTTCCTCTCAGACCATCCTATTTAAAGGGACCATCTCTACCACTTTCCACTTATTGTCTCTTTTTTTTAGAGCTTTAACACAGTCATAATGACTTTGTTTACTGGGCTCCTCCTCCCTCCCAACCCCCTCACTAGAATATAAGCTTCAAAGTGTGGGGGCCTTGCCTTGTTCACTGGTACATCCCCAGCATCTAATGCAGTGTCTGGCACTTACTAGGCATTTAGTATACATTTGTCAGAATGAATCCTGAGCCCACATAGGAGAATGAGTTTAGCGCCTCTCAATATAAATTCTCTTAAGTTAGGTGACATGCAAAGTAAATACGTTTTTATTGTAGCATCTCCTAGCAGGACTATTGTGCATGAAAGAGCAGTTAATAGGCTGAACCAAAGGACTTTTGTTATTCTAGTAGCACAAAGAATTTCTTTCCAAGGTTCTGATTTTTTTTCTTACTAATATGTTCTTAAATGGATATGTTCATAGGATTTGGGGCACAGAGTGCACAAAGATATTCTTTCGTGGATACAATTAGAATTTCCACTGTGGGCTATAACAATAAACTCTGTACCATAAATGCTGCCAGACCTAGGAGAAATAGTATATAAGTGGGAAAGTCTTTTGAAAAGAGAGACCATCACAAATGGTGTTACTAGGAAAGTGGGAAATTGTGGGATGATGATAAACTACTGTAAGGCCTTCTCTTCAGTAGATTGCAATTTATTCATCATTCATTCACTCATTCAACATTTGCTGGCTCCCTACTATGTGGAAGGGTCTTTGTTTAGGTACTACCTTAAGGAGCTCCCATTCTCATGGGGAAGTCAGGCGTGGAAATCGCCAGTTAACAATACGGAGTGATAAGTGCATAAAGGTTTGCACCAGAATGACATGAAGCACAGAGGAGGGTCTTCTAGCTTAGAGACCCAGGGAGGTTTTCTTAGAGGAGGTGGTGTTCAAGCTGTCTTGGAAGACACAGGATTTCAGTCCACAGGAAAGCAGTCCTCAGACTTTTTGTCTTAATACCAAATAAAGTAAAGGCCATATATATTCTTTGGGAAGACTGTAAGTGGCACGGTATCATGTCAGATGCTGAAAGTGAATTATTAGCCTTCCCTCCTTTACCTCTCTACCTAGAGTTGTGCTTTGCTCAGTATCCATGCTTTTGTCTGGTTTCCTTTTGCCTTTAAAGCCTGGAGTGGGTGTCAACTTCTTGTTTCATTGTATATCTTATTATTCACATCATTATTTTCATTTTCTTGCTGGCAGTGCTTATGGCTGGACTTGGAAACATAAGGAAGTGTGGACTATGCTTCTGGTACACTCAGCTCTAGGGAAATATTGCTTATTGCTTTAGACCATTGCTAAAAGCAAAGCTAGAGAATGGACAATTATAGCTCATAGCTTGTCCTTCTACACATCATTTCTAGGGTGGGTACAAAGTGGGTTGCACATATGCGATTCTTTGGGAAAGGGGAAGAAAAATTTTTAAATTTACATTTATTTTCTTCTTATTAAATTTTTTGTTTTAAATTGTTCATATATTAGTCTAGCAGCACATATTTTTTTGTGTTGCGTGTATTACATATATATGGAGTGTTCGTTCAAATTTTTTACTCATGAGGGTGCACACTCAATAAAGTTTGGTGACTACTAATCTGTGGGGATGGTCAGCACAAGTGACCTCTATGCAATGTTTAGAAAATGTGGATGATGAAACACTGAGCCCCCAGGGCTCCCTCTCATTCCTTTGAAATAGTGGGATCCCTGCCCGGCACAGGGTCAGTAGAGAAGAAGCAGTCTAGTTTCAGTGTGGCTGATGGATGAGGTTGGAATCAGAACTGGAAGGTGGATTATGAAGAGTGGACAATTTAACAAAGCCTGGCACCTAGGACGGGGAATGTTAAAGATTGGTGGTGGCAGGGAAGAGGCAGGTGAATGACTGTATCAAAAACTGTTTCGAATGGAAATTTTATCTTTTTCTCGTTCCATTTTATCTGTAGTAGGAGAAATTTCTTTCAAAGCATCTGGGCAGCACTGGGAATTTCACACCCATCATTAGAACGATTTGTGTGTGTGTGGTGACTATGTTATCATTAGTGGTATAATTTTATTTTGCGAAGAGAGAAGTGTTTCCTGTTTTATCACAGCTTTCCCCGAGGAGGGCTGGTGTATTAATTTGCTGTATTGCCTCCTGGCTGTTCCCAGGCTGTTTTTCCTCTTCATCATGGAATTTTTAATGGCCCTGGTGCCTCTTGGGAAGCATGTGAGGAAGAGTTCCTCGGGGAGCGCTTTTCTTTTTTCACATGCCTATAATTACTCTCCTTTAAGAGCACAAAGAGTTTGATAATCATGCCTGAACTGTGAAGGTTTCCTCCTGTCTGTTGGTTATTGAGCTGAGGCTGCTTCCTGCCTGGATGTGGCCAGTCCCACAGTCCCCCACACTCAACTGCATGAGAGTGAGGACCCCTTAACCACCTCGTCACTGCTACAGCATTATACAGCTCTGGTTATCACTGTGAGGCCTGGGTGCTGCTGGGGCCATGAGTGACCTTAAGGCACTTTCTTGTTTAGTATTTCATTGGTATAAACAAAGAAATAATAGGATCGTGAGTTTAAGAGGTCGTTTTATTGATGCTTCATTTTAATATAGCCCAGATGGCACGTGCAATGGATGGGAGAGGGAGTCTTTGTGGTGATTGTGCCACCTAATAGATTTGTGGGTTAAGAGGTTTTCAAAAATACCACTCTAGAAGTACTTAAGTTGGTGGTTTTCAACCCTGGCTGCACTTTGGAATCACCTGAGGAGCTTTAAAAAATATATCCATGCAGTGTCCCACTTCCCATGATTATGATTAATTGGTCTAGGATGAGGCCCAGGCACTGGCATTATTTTAAAGCCCCAGGTAACTCTAATATGCAGCCAGGGTTAAGAACTACTGCCCTAAATGCATATGGTTTTATGATTGGTGCTTTGTAATTTGCTTAACAGGAAAACTCATTTCATAATTGGCGTGAGCTCTGTACTTTGATACTGTGAGCATGATTTTTTGTGGGAGGTAGAACACTGGACTTCTCTTAGCTTTGGAGAACTGTGTAGGTGAGAATAGAGTGTTAGTTAGGGTTTACCTCAGTGTCCTGCATGTAGTGATTAACAAATGGGAGGAGTTGCTGGGTGGGTGTATGGATGGTTGGATAGTTGGCAGGGTGCATGGATGAAATTCTTAAACCAGCTGTTTTGGTTTGGTGGTTTTGGTTGCTAGTATTGGGATGCTGCTATTAAAATAGTATACTTGGTGTTAAGAATTGCTGCTGCATAAACAGCAGATGGTGTGATTGGTGTTCTGGTAGAGGCTGTAGAATTGCTGTCAAGAATGGTAATAAGGAGCTAGTGCTGTAGGCAGCTTTTCCCCAAATGAGAGATTTATTGATTATCCAGGATAGCTTTTCTTACCATTATTGCCTTAGGAAACCATAACTAGAACTTATCAATTGCTACATCTCTCTGTATGATGCACAGGTCACCAGTTGTAGTTTTTGAATGTCTCATGGCAGCTTTGAGTTTTCTCCAACTTCCCTGACCTTTCTTCTTTTTGGGTAGCGATTTGGTAATGTATTACCATTTCCATTTATTTTTTCTTGTGACGTTCTTAATCTCATATTAGTGGATGCTAGACCCAGGTAAGAATCTTGGTTTTACCTGGGCAAATGACTTAACCTCCCCGTACCTCAATTTCCTTATCTTTAAAATAGAAATATCAGTATTTATTGGGCTAGTGGTGGTCAGAATATTTGTATTTGTATTCAAATACAAAATATTTTTATTTGAATATTTCACATACTGATGGTTAATATTATTAGCTTTGTTATATAGTTACTACCCTACCTGTCCTTAGGATAATGTAGTTTTACAAACTTTGAGTTGGCTTCCATAGCTGTTTGCTAATGAGATGTAGTACAGATTCTTGAGGTGCTTAAATGGCCTCAAATGGGCTATAAGAGGAGGCAGTTGGACAGTGGGTAAAAAAGGGAGACTGTCCTGCTTGTTAGAGATTTGAAATATGATAGGCTGTGCTCATTGGAATTCATTTTATCTGTTCACAAACGTAGAGATCTGCATATCAGAGTTGTGTGCCCAGCTGGCTGTGCCACTTGACAAGAAGTTTCAAAGAGCAAGAAGAAGACTCAATTCGAGCTGTTAATTTTGACCTTTGGAGCCTTAGTAAACAGCCTGAGGTTTTACCTCAGGGCTTGGGGGAAAGAACCTTTTGTTAGTTCTCAGTCTGCTGGGGATGCTGTGATGCCCAGCAGCTCATGCTCACCTCTTTAGTGCCTTAGTTTCGGCCATATGTGAGAAAGTGGTTCTGCTGTAATACTGTCCTGAAGGCTGCCAGTTCTACCGGAACTTTCCATTATATAGTACACAGTTCTTGAATCTTTTGTCCTCTGTTGGAGGGTC